GGGTATGTAAGGTGAAAGGGGACAGATTAAGTGGAGTTCTACGGACTAAACCTACTCGATTGACGGAGTGTCAATTCGTGGAGGTTATTGAATGTGCAAGTGGAATATAGCTCCTGAGAGCTCTTGTATCCTTGAATTGTTTCTGGTTATATTTTCAGTAAATTGTTAATTATGAAAATATGATTGCTTGACTTGTAAATTGAGATTGTTATTTGAACAATGTGCTTGCATGTGTGTTCTTGGCCTCACGAGCGTTTTGCTCACCCTGTAGATTTGTTTTCCTTAACAGGACTGGATCCGGGGACGTATTGGAGAAACCCTCCTGATGTACTTTTGTTTAGGGTTTCTGTCATCTGTTTGACTATGACTCCTGGTTTTGGGTTGTACTTTTGTAATTGGAATGTAGTACTTGGGCATGAGGTAAATTTGGGTTTAAGGTTGTATTTTGAACACCCGATGTACGGGGTGAATAATGGATGATCATGGTTAACTTGAACGCTTCCGCATCATTATATTTATGTCGTTGTACTTATGACATTTAGATTAGTAACAAGTTTGAATGTTTTGCGTGAGTCCTGGCGAGAGCTGGGTAGGCGTCCCGCAGATACCCTTTGGTTCGCCTTAGAGAGAAGTGGGGGCGTCACAGAACCTCCTCCAACCGCTCATTGTCCTCCATAGATACCAATCGGGGAATAATATCGGGCACATCTCGCATCCCAGGGGCATCCTCCAATAAGAATAAGGATAAGAAATACTGCACCGCCTCCTCGCCAATGAGCGCATCCTCATTAACCCATCTCCCATCAGGCTTCTGAATCCGATGAATAATCAAGTTCATATGCTGTTGCTTTCCCACCGAACGAAAAAACTTAGTATTACAATCACCTAAAGTCAGCCATTTGACCCGAGCTCGCTGCCTCCACAGCGACTCCTCCATGGCTAATGCACATCTCAATGACGCTTGGGCCTGCTGTAACTCCACATGCAGCCCCTCCGACCCCCCATCTTCTAATCTTCTCTCTAACTTTCCAACCTTCTCTTCTACCTTTGCTACATTGTTCGAAAAATTCCCCACACAGTCCTTGTTCCACAATTGAAGATGCCACTTGAGTCTCTGTAACTTAGAACAGAGCACATGCATCGGGGGCCCACCGCACTCTTGTTGTCGGGACTCTCTTACCACCGCCAAGAAATCGTCACGATCCGCCCAAGCATTGATGAATCGAAACGGACGGGGCTTACCATCCAACCTTGTACCAGCAGAGAGTAACAATGGTGCATGATCAGAGGGGTGACGTGCCAAGTGAGTAACAATGGTGCATGATAACCAGTAGTAATAAAAGCCTAAGAAGCGAAAATGGCAAACAAACTACTTAAGGTTCAAATAATGCAAAAATTGCAATGGCATGAAGAGTTCTAGCAAGTAACTTCATGCCTTTGACTTGTTATTGTACCAATATAAAATAGATGAAAAACTACTTAAGGTACAAATCATGCAACCCAAATTTATAAGCATTTAAACATTTTCACTCAAAATGCCTAGAAAAACAAGTGTAAGACATAACTAGGCACTTTATAAACATCACAATATTGTAACAAGACCAATTTACGAGCAAAACTTAAGCCAAGAAACATGCACTATGCATATATTTAACCTAAACTCCTAAAGTTCACACAAATTGCTCAATTCTTCAAATATTTAACATTCATCATACAAGCATGTTCCATATGAAGAATAAGCAATAGGTTGGTCCATTATAACACCTAAACATCAATGCAAATGCATCATTTCTCAAGCTAATTAAGCTAGCAATTTTCTAGCCTCCAACATGCAAATTGTCCCCCAAATGATACATGTATGAAATGTTACTTCTAATCATCAATAACAAGGCACTTTACGACTATTTAGATCATACAATCATGCTTATCAATGTTCCAAAACTAATTTCTACAATGATCAAAATATAGAAATATGCACAAAATTGAAACATTATGTAGATAATCATATTCCCATATTTTCTTACATAAACATACATAGAAATGCTAAAATGAGCATAAATGAACTCACAAATATCATCACATTTTCATCATTTGAAATTTGTCAAGAAATTCAAGAAACGCTCAAATGACAAAATTTAAACTACCAAATTAAGTTGAAGAAGTTTAACTCCACTTGGTAGAGTGATGCTTGGTGATTCAAATGATGCAAAACCACTCAAAGATTACACCCAACATGGCCCTTAAGTAATCAAATTTCATATTTGAATACCTTAGACTCAAGAGCTTCAATCCAAAAATTGAAGTGCTTTTCGGTGATTTTGATCAGTGAAAATTGTTCTAAAAGATGTTTGAGGTATTTGTATGGTGATTCAAAGTAAGAAAAATGTTTGAAAATTGAGTTTGAGTGAAGTGTGTGAGTGTATTTGGGTTTGAGAGGAAAAGAAAGAAGAAGAAATAAGGAAGTGAAATTCAAAAACCATTTAAAAGGAAAAAAATGTAGGGTCCACGGACAGATCCTTGAGGTGCAGCCCATGAATTTGCTTCTTTGTTCTTTTAGTAATAAAAACATGAACCATTTTGGTATAGGCGTAGTACACGGAGCGTAGGTCACATTTTTGCTTGCGTATTTACTATTTCTACAGCAAAAGTGCAGAAATTCAACACTTTTATACTTTATGCATCCATTTTCCTCATTTTTCAAAACGTGCATTAGATCAGTTTTTTTACCTAATTCAACACTTTACCCAAGTTTAAAATGACCTAAACATAAAATTCAACCCTTCATAATGGATCAAAAACAACTAAAATACAAAATGAGGGGTTGAGTTTTTTATCTTCCTTTGCCTTAATGACCTCCAAAGACAATTTCTGCCTTCTTTCTTGAAGCCTACGAAACAGACATAACAAACACATTTCAAAATATAAAACAAATATGAAAGCACACTTCAATGAAATAAATTAACACAAAATATTGGGTTGTCTCGCATTAAGAGCTTTTGTTTATAGTTGTTCAGTTGACTCAATTATCATTATCTTTGGAAATCATGTGGGAAGGGATAAGGAATTGGTTCCTTCCTAAGTGCTAAAACTTCTCTTGTCATCCCCATATTTTGAGCTTTCTTAAGTCCAAATCCTTCTCATAACTAGACAAGAAATTATTAGCATTATCACAATGTTTATGAGGATTTAAAACAATCCCAAAGTCTACTTGTTTTCTTATCTTTATCTACTTGGATTTTAGGAATTTCTTTAGTATGACTAATAGTGGCCTCTTTTCCTTTATATCTGATATTACGTATGTCATAAGCATCAAGATCAAGAGGATCAATAGGAAAGCCATCTTTATACAACTCTTGTACTACATTAACTTTCTTAGGCTTAATAACCTTACCATGCCATAAATCAAGATCTTTATTATCATTAAGATTAAACACTAATTGTTCACCATTGACTCTACACTAATTGGCCTTCTTAAACATTAATCGATGTACTGACTATGGTTAAAAAAGGTCTATCGAAAATGATAGGCATGTGTATATTTTTGCTTCGTATCTAACACAATAAAATATACCAGTATAATGAATGATTTCATCTTTATAAAGACATTTTCTATCCTACTAATTGAACACTTTATAAACCTACTCGCCAATTGAAGAGCAATGTTAGTATCCTTCATCTCCTTTAAATCAAAACTCCAAGCAATAAAAAATGGTATCAATGATACACTTACATCTAAATCACACAAGCCATTAGAGAAGTTAAGATGTCCAATGGTGCAAGGTATATCAAAATTTCTTGGATGTTTGAGTTTTGGTGGGAGTTTATTTTGCACATGTGCTGAACACTTCTCTATGAGTCTTATCATCTCATGATCTTCAACCTTCCTTTTCCTTGACATAATATTCTTCAAGAAATGAGTATAAGAGGGAATTTGTAAGATATCATCAATGAAAGGAATGTTAATTCAAATTTGTCAAAGAATTTGAGCAAATTTTTCAAACTCCTCATTTTTGCTTTGCTTTACCCTACCAGAAAAAGGAATAGAGTTAGTAGTGTTCTTAGAAGAAATATGAGAAGAAAACATATCATTATCAATTAAATTATGATAATTTTGGTCTTTGTGTGTCTCTTCTCCCCCACCTATGCTATCCTTTTCACTCGTACCAAAGTCAACACCCTCTAATTATTTTCCACTCTTAAGAGTGATGGTATTTACACTCTCTCTAGGATTTAGCTCTGTTTTACTAGGTAACTCTCCCATATTCCTCATGTTAATTGCATTAGCAATTTAACCAACTTGAATTTCTACATTCGTATACATGTTTTTTGTTATAGTCTTATCTCCATCATCTTAATTTAGTTCACAGTGACACTAACAAGTCTATCAATTTTGCTATTGGTATCACTAGCCACTCTCTATATTTTGCTATTCATGTCATTCGATAATTTTTCCATGACTATGTTCCAAGATGATTTTGTCTCTTGAATAGGTAGTGGAAAATCGGGTGGGTTCATGGGATGGTTTTGACCATTTTTATCCCTCCAACCTAGATTAAGATGATTTCTCCAACCTGGATTGTAGGTATTTGAGTAAAGATTATTTTGGATTTGTCGAATGACATTATTGGCAAGTCATATTTGCTCCACATATAAGCGCTTACCATTAGCATGATGTGCTCCACATGTAGTACAACAAGCAGTTTTTAGCATAAAAAGTACCACATGAACCATCATTAACATGTTTATTAAAACACCTCACCAAGTTATCAATTTTGACATCAAGAAGGTTTACTCTATCCATTTCCATAATGCTCTCTACTTTTTTATGGGCGCCTCTTATATTGGCCCATTAATAATTGTTGGAGGCTATTTCTTCTATCAATTTTTATGCTTCCTCAAGTGCCTTCCCCATTAGTACTCCACCGGCAGTGTCATTTATATTGATATTAGTTGGAAAGGTAAGACTATTATAGAAGGTTCGAATAATCAACCACTCTAGGAGCCCATGGTGTGGACATCTCCTTTGGAGGTCCATGAACCTTTCCCAAGTTTCGTATAACAACTCACCTTCGTGTTGATTAAAACATGTGATTTCTATACAAAGTTTAGCCATTTTATTGGATGGAAAGTATTTATTTAAAAATGCTTTTGATAATTCACTCCATATAGTAAAAGTATTTGGTGGATACAAATTTAGCCATACATTTTCCTTGTCACAAAGTGAGAATGGAAACAGCATAGCTGAGATAGGAACAATTACCTAAGAGATTTGTCTAATAGTTTCTTGTTTTCTCAACTATAAGTTTTACTCCCTTCATCCCAAAATTTTAGTCACACTTTGGAAATCCAACTTTTTTTATCAATAGTATTTTGATTGTAATGCTTACACTTTTCTTTCGAATCTTACCTCTCAGAATTCAAATTTGAATTTGAATGTAACATGCATTGGATCAAAAGTAGAGACAATATTGAGAAAAGAGACCACAAAGAGTTTTGACTTGTTAAATAGGACAACTATTTTGGAACATCCTAAAATGGAAAGCAGGACAAAAATTTTGATACGAAGTGAATATATATGACGTATGATTTCAATAATCGAACACACAAAGAACATACATCTGTATATTTTCTCTCTGCCACATATTTTGTTCTCTCTACTTCTTCCATAGGGAACTACTATACATACCATGATACTTAGACTTTAGTGGGAGAGTCTAGTAGTCTTTCTACTAGATGAGAGGTGCATGATTGTTGCTATAGGAGGGATGCAATCGTTAGCGCTCATGAGTAGCAGTAGTGGCATTTATCATGTATAGAGGTAGTAAAGTAAGATGATACAGGATCCGGATAATTCAATCGAGTAAACCATAAGAGATAACCTGCTTTATGTCTATTTTCACTTTCATATCGTCCATGTGTGCGTTTATGAGTTTCATGTAAAAGGCATAATTTGTGTTTTTGCTTGATAAACCCATCATTTTAAGCTAATTTTTTAAGCCTACTAAACTATTTCAAATATGTTGATATAGGTATCATTTGAAACTATATTCAAAGAACTTTTCAACTACATATTATATACATAATTGGGACTTAAAATAACAAAGATTTTTGTTTTCAATGTTTGGGGTCGAAAAAACATAAATCTGGACATTCTAAAAAGGGATAATTTCATAAAGCTCCCTTGAACTTTCTAACAATTGCAGCCACCTCCCTTGAGGTTTGAAGAATTATGGAAACCTCCCCTAAAAAGTATGTCTTGGTGACAATTGATGACCTAAGTTTAAAAAATCTAATGAATATCAATATTACCCCACATTGATATATAAAACAAAATAAATACTAAAAAAATCATTTATCAGAATCATTCATTAGGTGAAAATTTCAAGTTATTATTTTGTAGGAAAATTTTAACCATATTTTGAAAGCATTCTTTTTGGTACTTTGGATATATTTTTTGGTTAAGTAATTTTGGAATAAAACTTATTTTAACATATGTCTCCCTAATTGGTTGGTCAATTTTTTGTAAAATGATTTATAATTCTAGTAAAAAAAATTGGAAATGAAGCATAACATACTAGATTAGATGACATTAAAATATTTGAATAAAGAAGTATTACCAAAAAGAATTTCTTTTTTTCTCTTTTAAATTCATTTTCATTTAAAATTTATAAAGTCAGTGAAGGTTAACATAATTTTTTCATAACTTTAAGGGACACAAGTGTAATTTTTAAATTTTTTGGGAGAGGTGACCGCAATTGTCGGAAACCTTAGGGGGAGATTTTTTAAATTGTCCATTCTAAAAAATAAAAAAAGAGGAAGATGAATAGGTTAATATTCATCCATAGTCACAATTTAAGAAGAGTCTTGAGCACTGAAGGCTAAAATAGGTCAAATGGATCATTTTGGTGGCGATCCGAAATGAAAACGATGCTCGCAAGGCGGCATGCAAATTGTAAGTGCCTTGGCTGGCGGTGATGACCGCGGTCATTGCACGCTACTAATAGCACATTAGATGCCACACGCCATAGAAAGATGTGGCGCGTGCGTAAATAGTAGAGCTTCTGGTTCTCTATTTGATGCATGGCTGACTAAACCTATCAACAAGTCGAGTATGGGTCGGAATTGAACATTCTGGACTCAGACTCGTTATAATATACCTGTTCTGGATTCAATCTGTCTACCCTACAGGTCTTGTACTTATAATCCCAGAATCAAGTTTGACTGGTTATGGGTTGGGTCGGGTCTACCCGACAGAAACAAGACCTGACAAAATTTTGCACTTTGTATGGAATATTAGGGTTTGATAATTTGGGAAAATAAGTATTATTGTATTAAGAAGTATTTAAATTTTATAATTATTAATCTATTTAAACGGATCTGAGTCGAATACTGATTAGATTCCTATATTCGGTATTCGACCTACTTTTTTTGTTAGAGTAGACGGGTAAGGGTCCGGACCTAAATAACGGAATTATATCTCAATCCGTATCTGAAAAAAAATAGCCGTTCAGGACCTAGACCGTTGACAAGCCTATGGATGACGCATATAAACTCTTGTCGTGTCCAACTTTTCTATGTATTTAGATTTACAAAATTACCGCTCCTTTTTGTCCTTTAAATTTAATTCCTATATCTGCATGTTTCTAAAATAAAAAAATGGATGAGATTTTGTTGATGGGCTAGTACTATCATATAAATTGTGGTCTTTTGACCTTTCTTATTTTTAGACCTCTTAGAATTATATGCCTAATCAATAAGCCGAATTCTATGTTTCTTTATTTGGGGCTTCTGAATGTATTGTGTATTGGGCCAGTTTACATCTTTCTACCACTTGATAAAAATAGACAAATAATTGGCCCATTTATTGGATATGGAGCTTTTTGGGCATTTAACTCGTGGGCTCCTGTTCTGACCTGTTGCTGTCATTTGTGTATCTGAATGATGCTTCTTGATTTATTGGCCTTGTTACACATGGGTATGCTATTTTTGCAAATCACTGAATGTGGGAAAACTAAGGCAATGTTTCATTTGGAACAACTTTATGATGTGGGCCTTTTTTGACTGGTTGGTAATGTATCATGGCTAACAGGATTTGGTTAGTTACAATAATATTTTTAAGCAATACGTGATTGTTTAATAATTGCAATATTTTTAATCACTTAATGATTACGTGTGATTGGTATTTTTTGTGAATAATAATTGCATGTAAATAATTTTATGATTCGATGACGGTGCGACATCCATATTTATATTCATTTGATTTAGAATTGTTGCAGTACGCATGTGAAATGTATCAAAACGTTGTAGCTTCATTTGCTTTAATTTTCGCAAGGCCTTGCAAAAGGATGTGTTTTTGCACGATAGTTGTTGATTAAAATTAGTTCAACACCACAATACCGTACAATTTGCAATTCATTTTGTTATACTTGCTTGTCTTTGGAACTAACACGAGATATTTTATATTTAATAGTTTGTAATTATTTTTTTGAAAATTATTGGGAAATGATTATTAGCTTTAAAAGGCAAAATTTTTATCCATATATTTATAGCAAAACATGATTAGCTAATCGGATTACTAATAAGGGATAATATCAAAAACCTTCCCTTCTCTTAATATCACCTGGCACCCCTAAGGTTTTAAATATATCATTTACCTCCCTTACTTTTGTTATTTGTGTAACAAAATTTTTAAAAACCCTAAACTACCCTTTCACTTGCTAAATAAAAATATTCCTAAACCACTTTGTTCATTTCAAGAAAACCATCACCTCAAAAACAATCTCTTATAATATTACCACATCATAATGCTATAACCCATAAAAATATAAATTTAAAAAATAAAAAAGATATTTGAAAAGAAATTCACTTGCATCAATTTAACTTTATATGCTCAAAATCGATTTCTTATGAATTTATATTTTTCCAACATCTTCTTAACCCTTACTCGAATCATTAATTTATGCCAATCATTATAAAAATGAACTCAAAATAACCAAATAAATTATAGCCAACTTTATCACAATCACAAAATGTAAAAGATAAACAAATTCGATTTATAAATAAAATATTGCATAGTCATCAAAAAAATGAGTAAGGGAGAATGAGGGAGAAAAGGGAAAAATAAGAAAGTGGCTTTCATTTTTTTTTTAATTTTTGAACTCCTTTTATTTGATATGTTATCAATTGTGTGTCAAATGAGGGTTAATATAGTCTTTTTACAATTATTAGAGGCGGTAAGTGATATTTCTAAAACCTTAGAGGTGCCAAGTGATATTAAGAGAAACCTCAAGGGAGGTTTCTAATATTATCCCTAATAATAAATCATAAAGATATATGGCCAATTTAAATCTTGTGCAATGACTTTTGTAGTGAAATGGCCTCCCAAAATACCCTTACTATTCTGACTAAAGATGAAAATCTTGATAGCAAACACTGTGGTATCTGGCACAGAAATTTTCAATATCTCAATAATAAGAAGGCAGCACTTGAGACCCTAACAACGGTTAGGACACTCTTGAGGTGAGTAATACTGCTCGACATTGTTGTGATTAGAAAGCCTCCCACACTTGCTTTGTGAAGGACAGGACTGCATGCTTTACAATGTTAAGCTACATGCATGAGTGACGTGACTGGGGGGTTTGAGAACTTCCAAACTGCTGGAGATATATGAGACCAGTTGAGGTTGAAATATGCTGCATACGCTCCTCTTTAAATTCAACCAGTATTAATTGGAGCTGCACCAAAGCATGGCTGAACACATAAGGGCTATGTTTGACATGACAAGAGAGCTAAGGCTAGCTGATAATGAACTCACCGATGAACAATAGGTTCTCGCAATGATAAGGTCTATTCCTGAGCTTACTTGTGGCCAAGTGATGCTGGCTCTTACCTACAATAAGTCAATACAAAATTTTCATGACATTTTGCATCATTTAGATTCGAAGCACAGCGTGTGGGTGCCAACCATACTACAGCTCGGTTGCACAAGTTGGGCAGTGTAACGATAGTAAGTTTAAGAGTAATGGACAACGAAAGGGCGAAAGAAATGATAAAGCTACAAATTTGCTCCAAACACGGAAAAAAAACGAGTGCCGTAAATGCAAGAAA